CTTTCCAAGAAGAGACCACCTCCCCCACCCCCAGGACACAAAAGAACCCTCTCTGACCCACCAAGCCCACTACCTCATGGACCCCAGAATAAGGGCCCAATTCCTTGGGGTGAGTTTTGAAATGCAAAACAAAAGGGCAGGGGAAAACCTTTATGATGGATAATATATGATCTTTGGTTTCTTTTACCTGGTGCTTGCTTTCCAATGATTGCAGCTTGATGTAACGTCAGCTCAGATAAATCAACAGTTCTGTCTTCTGTCACTCTAGCTTCCAGGCTTCTGTATCTGAGTCTCACTTGAGAAAATTGAAAATATTCCACGCTCCCCGGGGGCCCGATTCAATCTCCTCTGCTGCCTCCCTCTCTCTGCCCAGGCTGCCTCACCCCGGCCCCCCCATCTGCTGCATCTGCTTCCTCACCCCTGCTGCTGTTCTGACCAGCTCGTTAATCTAGATGGACCTTGATTTGGGGCCGATAGACATCAGGGAATCTGCGCGGTTCTCCTGATTGCCAGAAGAGCTTGTTTCCTTGGGCTCTCTGCCAGTTCTGCCCCATAAAGTGTTCGCACCGAACTGGTGGGGATGTGTTGTCTGAATATGTTTTCGGGTTTTGTGCCGTTGTCTGTACGTATGCAAAGGCTGAGAGGTTTGCATCCTTCTACCTGCAGAAGTTATACAGAAACAGCACTTTTTTTTTTTTAACAGGATACCTGTCTGACAGAAGCTTTTTAAAAACTTTTTTTCAGGCTACTCAAATTGTTCCTCTTTTCAGTAAACTTTGCTCTGTGCAGTCAGCTTCTCCCTGTAGCTATAAACCTTAGACCCATGTAATTTTCTATAATTTTAGTCTTGACGGCAGGATTTCCGTAGATCTGTAAACTTTTGAGCTGGAATCCAATGCTTACATAGGGCGGTCATCCATACACTACTCATATCTTAGGAGTATCTTCTCTCTGTCCTAATATAAACCCAAAATTTCTAACCTAAAAAAAATGACAAGCTTAAAAGCACCATTTTTTTTTTTTTTACAGCAAATTGAGTTAAATGTGGTAAATCGTGGCGTACTCGTGTAGAATATGTGATTTAATATGAGAAGAAGTACAGAATCCAATGAAAAGCAAAGTCCTTTTCTCAAGGAATACAAATAATGCCAATCTCTTCCATTCTCTAATTTTTAGATGTCTGGGATATGGAAAAATTGTCTCCCGTGTTCTGGAGTCTAACAGCCCTGTACTATTTCAGAGGTAGTAAAGACATTTTGAAGAGCTTGGACTTTAAAAATTTAAAAAAGCCTAAATCTTTAAGTCCAAAACAGCATCTAAAAGTAATGTGACACTAGAAGGATGAAAAGTGTGGTAGGAACAGCTGTTAAGCTAGTGCCAACTTTTCTGTAGAAATACTAGACAGCAGGTGAAGGAAAAGGAAATTACGGGAAAGGTGCAGGTGTGGAGTTGAGGATGGAGAACCCTACAGCAGTAGAACACCTTTGCAAAGCAGGGCCAGGGAAGAACGTTGCTTACTCTCTTTTCTGCTCTACAATGGAGACTCAATTTCAGTAGTCGGAAGAGGGGCCTTTTCTCCCCTTTTTCCTAGTTGAGATCTGTACAGAAACTTGTTTCAAAGTCCGTTTGGATTTTAAGCAAGTATTAAGTTTTGTGTTTATAAAAGAGGGGGTTTCTCGTATCTGCTTTTGTGGTTTTGGCTTAAGAATATTATTGTCAGATGTTCACTGCTTTGCCTTTCAGAAGCTTTTTTCTCTGTTGTTATATTTCTTGTTATGTTGAATTTCTTGTTATGTTGAATTTCAGCATTTGTTTTCTAATCTGTGCCTTAATTGAAGTTTTCGGGTAGAGCAATCCTTAGCTTACGTCTAAGCAAATTAAGTGACTATTCAAAGATGTTCTAAAAATGTCATTTAGATTATTTTGGATTTCCATAGCAACCATGAGATATTTGTCCTTACTTTATCCATAGGATCTACATGTGACGGATTTGCTGTTTGTCTTTTCTTTTTTTTTTTTTTTTTTACTTTTAAATATAAACATATTTTTAGCAAGGCTCAGCATGAGCCTTTTCTGCTGTTTCATTTAGACTTCAATGCACTAAGAATGGTATCTAGGCAGATATGTCATTCTTCTGCAAGGGAAGTATTTTTGTGTTCTTGGATCATTAAATGTCACTTTACATCTGTTTCAGTGACAAAATTTATTAATGGTTGTTGGAGTTGTTTCTAAGAATGTTTAGACATGCTGTAATAGAAGAGGGAAGGGGGAGTGATAAAGGCACTAAAAGAAAGTAGTATAATTGCACCTTGGGAATGGTGTTGGTTAATGAAAGAGAAGCCTTCTGCTGAAGGAGTTCAGAAGGTTTGGGTTTGGGTTTTGCTGCCTTTTGACAGAATTGAGTATACCCGGGATCATTTCTTTACCAACAGTTAACATGTGAGTTGTGGTAATATACTGACTTAGTCAGTAAATCAGCAAAGGCTATTCTTTATGTGGGATAAAACAGCAATCCTTAGCAATGTGATGTTTTGTGAATAAAATAAAATTCATGGTGGTTTTAAAAAGACGTGCCTTGTAATGCAAAATGTAAACATCTGCGATAAATTTATTTGATACTGGCCTGCAGTATCTCCTTCTATTCAGAGAAAATTGAAACACTATATTCAAAACAAATGCCCTAGAGCAGTAACACAGCAGTGTCATTCAATCTTTCCTTGCCAGCAGATGTGAGATACCAGCGAGTTGTTTTAAAACGCGTTATGTGAAAGGTCAAGTTGGATTATTATGCTGCTTTTTCAGTTACAAAATTATTAGTAATGAATGATCTTTAAAAGCTTTAGACCTCTTATATGGAGGATATGGAAGAATATACTTGAAGTACATATACTTGGAAGAATATGTACTTCACCTTTAGTTGTACCCTCTGCTCATTATATTTCAGTTATTCTAATGATCTGGGGGTTTTTAATTGTGCTTTTTTTACCTCAGGTAATGATTTGGGCCCACCTTCAACTAAAGCTGCAAACAAGTTTGAGGGGATGTCTCAGCAGTCAAGGTAAAATATGTGTATATGAAGGCAAAGATGAAAATTTATCTAAATATAATTAAATTGTAAAATAGAAAAATAGTTGCCTTTCATATGAAGTAAAATCCTAGCTATGTTTCTTCATTAGTTTTCTGCGTGTCTTACTACCATACAAATACTTTGGCTTCATTGAGCCTCCTACGCTTCGTTCCTAGCTGTCCATACACAATTCATCCTTTGAGCGGGATGGACAGCACGACTTGTACCAGAATCCATCTACCACTCGTAGAGAATGCGCTCTGAGCTGGGGAATGTTGCCTCTGGCTGCAGTCCGGCAGGACAAAAGTTTTATTTTCATGTCTCATTTAATTTTATCTGCTTCAGTGTGAGGTCTTACGCCTGTAGCTGCAGAGGTGTCACCCTGGGTACAGACTGGCATGGAAGACAGCTCTATAGAAGAGAGGATTCATCTCCATCTTCCAGCTTAACTGTTTTCCACTCTGTCAAGCTTCATGCTGACACACAGTCTGTAGTAACACAAACTGCTTTTAGCTCGTAGTTCATCAGGTCCATACATTACAAGTGTCTTTCTCAATACCTGGAGTAGTAAGGATAGCCATAAATTCCTGTCACTTAGTGTTTGTTACTCCTTTATCTGTGTTGTGATTCCAAGGTCCTGAGGTTCAAAGCGTGGTAATAAACATGTGCCTCAGGCAACACAATGGAGACCTTGCACGACCACAAGTGTGCGTGATCAGGCCATGACTGGAGATGGACATATGACATCAGACAAATCGCGGTAGTAGAAGATGTGTAGGTAGAGTTTCTGGACGTCCTCAGTCTGTGCGCTGCCTTGCCAGGACAGGCAGCGGACGTGTTGTTGGTAGCACAGCTGACGTGCAGTGTTTGCTGAATCCATCCAGGTGACACTGGGTATTCAGGGGGAAAGTGGTGACGTTCTGCAACGCAAAGAGCTGGTGCCATACTTGGTACTTGTGAGACAAGGGTAAAAGTGTGGTACTTGTGCTTGCTGGCATTAGGTAAAGGCCGAAGTAATTATCTGTTGAATCAAGATTGAGCTTGGCTGTTCTTTCAGTTTTATGTCATGATATATTTTGACTATTTAAAAAAGGCTATGAAATTAAGATAAAAGTGTTTTCATCATATTCATTTTGAAACGTTAGCTTCAGAGGCAAATAATACTAGAATCCAGGCAGCTGATGCAGAGACTCTGCTCTGTTGAACATACTCTGGCAACTTCCTCACTTGTTTTTCTTTTTCCTTGTTCTTTGAGTAATTATTTTGAGATTATAATGATTTTTCTTTGAGTATTTTTTTTTTTTATGCCTTAAATCAATTGGCTTTCTTCTTTTCTACCACAGTCCTTTTCTATAAAAGTGACTCGGATATGTTTTTAGTGGAAGGAATTTGGTGGGTTTTTTGTTGAAACTTGTAAGATGTTTTGCCCTCACATGCCATGTTTGCAAATTTGAGCCAGCCTGGTGTTAATTCTGAAAAAAAATTGTCTGCAACAGAAAGCATAGGTGGAAAGTTTTGGCAATACGCAAATATCTCAGATTTTTATGCTGTAATTAAATTACTCGCAGCTGTCCTGCTTGTATTGTTGCTTACCACTAGGAGTAGCTAACACAGGTGTAACACAGGTTGACAGAGTAAAGCATGTTGTTTTTCCACAATCATCAGTATTTCCTTGGAGTAGCAGAGATTTTTGTCTCCTAATGCAGCCGCAGTTTGTGTGCAATACAACATTATCCTCGTGCAGTCGCTACAAGGCGTAGGCTCAGTCCTGGAAAACTTCAAACCACTGACATAAAGGACAGATGACGCTTTGAATTCTAAAGTGTAATTATTTTAAAGACCAAATTTTCTTTAAAGTTCAGGATCTGCCCACTAAGCTGGTCTTTCAGCCTCACCTATTTTCAGAGTGCATTTTTGCACATACCATAGTTTGTAGAATAAATCTGCCCTGTAGCATTAAAGCTGTGTGAGGTTTGTCTGTCTCTTTCTCTGAAAAAAGCAGTTCACTCTTGACAGTGCTTGGAGTTTTGGGATTGATCCACAGACAAGATGGTTATACAAGAGAAACAAAACAAATGTGGCTGGGTTTTTGTTCTGGGTTTTTTTGTTTTGTTTGATTGTGGATGTGTAGAGGGGGAAAAGGGGAAAGAAAAAGTATGTTTTGTAACATTTATAAGCACTAAAATTGCACATCTGTTGATTTAGCACTGGGACTGCAAAGACTGCACTTGGCCCTAGAGTTCTTCCCAAACTACCTCAAAAAGGTAAGAGTTCTCTTTGTGAGTATTCTCAAAATTGTATCTTCTAAATGTGTGTGAAAGTAGATACTTGTTTTAAATATATGGATCTTTTCAGCTAAAGTTTTATTTCTAAAATGCCACAAACCATGAAACTTTAACAAAGCTGAAAGGATTTTGGAAGATCAAGAAGGTTTTTATTAAACTAAAAAAAAAAAAAAAAGTTAGACCATGTGGAACATAAGGAGGAAAGAAAAAAAAAATCAAACCAATTGAAGCTGGAAGAGACCTGAGGAGGTCAAACTGGTCCAGTTCCCCACTCAGAGCAGGACTAACTTTTTGATATGAGAGCAGGTTGCTTAAGGCCATGTCCAGTCACGTTGAGTATCTCCATGGACAAACCTGTCTGGGCTCCCATTTCTTTGACCACTCTCGTTGGTAAACTCTCTTTTCTTTCTAATATCCGTAACTCCAGTTTTTTTGATACTCTTGAGGTAAGTTGTGTTCGTTGCTATGTTTTGGCAGTCAGGGTTGTTGTCCTTCTAAATAGTTTGAAAAGAATCAGGTACTATTACATGCTTGTTTATATATTGGTGACAAGCTTGCTGAGACCATCATCCCAGTGAACACCTTATGGCCCTTTCTTTTTAGAAATGTTTCTTCTAGACTCTCTTCAAATTCATATGGCAGGTTTTATTTGTTTTTTTGAGTTCTTGCAGCAGTTGACTATAAAGTTGACAGTAGACCTACCTCGTAGCTCTGTCTGGTACAGAATCCATCAAAAATACATTGTGTCTGTATGAGTGGGTGACAACTATAGAGCCTGAAGATGAGGAAACGATGCCTGTCCAAATTTCTGAAGCTAGGTGACTGAAATAGAGAGTGCAAATAATTTTAACAGAAAATGCAACATTACAGTTATTATGACATCATGTCATCTTTTGAGAGAGACACCAATGATGTGATAGGGTACTGCTGCAAAGGAAGTTAACACTTTGCTGATTTAAAATGATATAGGTGAAAATTTAAGATGGGCTCAATCAAAGCACTTTGATAAGGACAACTATCAGTGTTTTCATATCCTTTACTTAAGCCTCAAACCAATGTGGGTGATTGTACATTTGCTACTAGATAAGTCTAGGAGACAAAGCCATATACAAGTATCAACACTGACGTTTTTTAAAATGAGACATCTGATAGTAGCCATACAATTTCTTTCATGGAAATTATGCAAAGTTTTTTTCTTTTTTTTTTTTTTTTTGGTATGAATAACCATAAATATAGCACGGAAGTGTTATTGCAGTAGGTGATATCCAAAGCGAGCGTTGTTGCTTTTGTAGTAAAAGGTCAGGCCACCTTTTTGGCTGGTAGAGTATGATACTAAAGCAATGCTGAACACAGTAGGAAATTATGCCTTCTAGTCAACATGTGTTGCTTTTCATCATGGGTGGTAACTTTTTTTCTCTCCTGTCCCACTTAATCTGTGTTAATTTAGAGTTGTTTGGTTTAAGGGTTTGGGTTTTTTGGTTGTGTTGTTACGGTTTTGTTTTTAAAGTAGGTTTCAGTCAAGTTTTCTTAGAGAACTTAACAGTAGAATCAATACATGACACTGAGAAAAAAATTATTTGAAAAGCTATTTTCAATTTCCTTCCATAAAATCTTCAAAATACACATTTTAAAACTACTCATCTTTACTAAATTGTACATATTTACAATAACTCATTTTTATTAGTTTTAGCTTGAATGTCTAGAATACAGTTTGTTCTATACACTGTATAGGCAGGCATGCCCACTTGCTCTCTTTTTTGCAATTTTACAGGTACTATTCCTGAGACTTGGGGGGGGTGGTGGTGTATGGAATTCAACCGTATATATGAATAATGGTCATTAAAGAGAATTTTCATTGCAATCACGTCAGTGGGTTGATAGGTTGTTTTGCAAAATACGTCTTTTCTTATATTTAATATTTTTTGGTTTAGGTCCAAAAAGTGATCACTTTATTTCATGTTAATCTATAAATTGACACCTAGTGGCTGTTGGATTAAGCTCTCCTGGCCTCCAGGAGGAGCAATAAAATAAGACCTCAGTGGAAAAGGGTTATGTAAAGTTGTGTTATCTTGCATTTGTCATAGACTAGGAGGGCATATGGACAGTTATTGGAGCTCAGTGAACATAGAATCACAGAATGGTTTGGGTTGGAAAGGACCTCAAAGATCATCTAGTTCCAACCCCCCTGCCATGGGCAGGGACACCCTCCACTAGACCAGGTTGCCCAAAGCCCCATCCAGCCTGGCCTTGAACACTTCCAGGGATGGGGCATCCACAGCTTCTCTGGGCAACCTGTTCCAGTGCCTCACCACCCTCACAGTCAAGAATTTCTTCCTAATATCTAACCATGTGGTCATTTACAGAACTACAGTTCTGGTATGTGCCTAAGTTATTTCATATTAAAATGAGATTGTGAAAAACCATTGTTATCCTTTTCTGTTTTAGTGGCACTAAGAAAAATAGAAACCAGTCATCACCTTTCAATAGATAAATCCCATCAGCACACGGAAATCTTTCAGAAGCCCTCACTGTCCATTGATATACCACAGAAACCACAACCTGGAGACTTGCCCCCAAAGCCTCTGCCTCTGGAATTAACTCAGAAACCTCAAGTGGGAGATTTACCCCCAAAGCCTGGAGAACTACCCCCAAAGCCTCAGCTAGGAGACTTGCCACCAAAACCACAACTTGGAGACTTACCTCCAAAGCCGCAAATGAAGGACCTTCCTCCAAAACCTCAGCTAGGGGAGCTGTTGGCTAAAACTCAAGGTGGAGAAGCATCACCGAAGCCTCAGCCCTCAGAGGCAAATCAAAAATCTCACTCCTTGGATCTTTCTCCAAATGTTCAATGTAGAGACGCCGTCCAAAGGCAAGCATCTGAAGAGTCTAATGACATAACTCATACCCTGCCAGAAACCCCGGTGCCACTTCCCAGGAAAATAAATATGGTAGGTATTATTCCAGTTCGTTGAAAGTATCACGGAAGGCTATGAATTTACTGTGGGACTGTCTGTGCTAAAAAAACCCCCAAAACAAACCCACCCTTGAGCTGTGCACACAAAGCAACATAACGTCATGGGTAGGATGGGGTGAGGTGCTCTTTTTGTGCCTCTTGCATGCTGAAACAAATACTTCATAGTAACATAAAGCGATAATCTTGGGAGCTTGACAGTGTATTTAGATTTATTAGGGAACTTGGGCATTTTTAGCTGTGCCAGTCATACTTCTGAATTCGTAGAATCATGGAATCCTTTTGATTGGAAAAGACTTTTAAGATCATCAAGTCCAACCATTAATGTAACACTGCTAAGCCCACCACTAAACCATGTCCCTCAGCCCCACATCTACATGTCTTTTAAATACCTCCAGGGATGGTGACTTAATCACTTCCTTGGGCAGCCTCTTCCAGTGCTTGGCAACCCTTTTGGTGAAGAAATTTTTCCTAATACCCAATTTAAAATTGATCCATCCAACCGATCAGCAGTTTTCTATGCTGTCTTTGCTCACTGCATTGTATGCCTTAGAATGCTAGAATATTTACATATTTGATTTTTGTAAGCTTTTGTGAGCTTTAAGAAAAGAATGTTAGCACCTATTGTCAGTAGATAAAAAATTTAAAGTACAAGTCAACTGTGACAAACTAGTAAATGTTCCTGTCGTGAGTATTTGAGGTTGGTGTATGTAAATGGTTAACAAAGTTTCAGATATATTGCTGAAGTGGCAAAATTGGCATTGCTGGATGCTATGTAGTAGCAGAACTGAAACTGTAACTCAGTTCCAAGTCTCCTTGTTCAGCCCCCAAATTCATCTTGCTGCTCATCTTGCTAACCAGTGCAATTTCTGTCCAACAGAGGATTCTTCATGCATATGTATATTGAAATAATTTTACGAAACTCCAGAGCTCTCTTAAGATTTTCATCATTAAGAATACATCAAAAAGGAGATAGGTTTGCTTGTCAAATTGGCTATGCAAAGCACTTATGTAAAAGGAAATAAGGCTTCCGTTCGTGTAGTGAAAGCAGAGGGTGAGTTTCTCCCTTCCTGTGCTTCTCTGAGGAAGAACACTCACTCTTTCTGGAGCCATCACTCAGCCTGGCTTCTGTCATGGACTGGTCTGAGCTGAGAACAACAGGGTTGTTGCTCAGGCTTCCTGAGTGTTCTGGAGATTAAATAAAATAGTACAAGGATCTGATCAAAAAGTGTCTGCAACTGATTTGTTTACTTAAGTACTTTTAAATATAAGCAGGCAAATGATACTGGACATTCTCAGCTATTTGTCACTTTATTAAGGAAGGAAGGAAAGCAAACAGTGGAGTAGTTGTTTGGTTTGGGTTTTGTGTTGGTTTTTAACTCTCACCCTACTTTATACAGGACTCCTCTGAGAAAAAAAAAAAATCAGTGTTCTCCAAATTCAGCTATTTTCACCTGTGCAGTAAATAGTTCTACTGTTTTGCAGTGATCAAAATTATGATGTATCTGTGATACTTTCTAGTTTACACATCATTGCATGCACACGTGTGTCTCATTCACTGCAGGTACCTTTGCTCAAGTAATAATGTGCAAAAATTCCTTTTAAACGTATCCTGCCTCCATTTTCATCCTCTAGCTATATCCTCTCTGCACAAACCGGTGAAGTGCTACGTCACAGCGCAACAGTAAGACCTGTGACAGCAGCCACTAGTACTTGTGGGTACTTTGCTCTTGGGTCTGACTATTCAGCCACTAAACAGATGAGCACAGATGGTTTTTTTGGAAGTTTTTTAAAAAAATCAATTGTTCAGAATTATGAAGTAAAAAGTACCAATGCTGTTAATATATTAAGGACTTGAAAGGATATTTTTAGAGAAGGAAACTTGCTCTCAGTGCTTCTAAAATCACACTGAGCACTTGAGTGCTCTTTTGTGTGTGTGTTTTCTATAAAGGAGAAAAAATACTTCTTTTTAAACAAAAAAAAATGTTGAATGTAAATAATAGCATGGAGGGATTATTAACGACTGATTATTATTCATTCTTAAGCATAAAAGTCTCTTCTAATAAGTTCTAATAGTGGATACAAGGAGTTTTGGGCAGGTGGTATTGGTTTTATAGTTGCAAATTGCATGTGCTGGAATTGCTTCTTTTTTTTTACACACCAGTGCCCCAAATCATGTTCTGGAAAATATATAGTCTTTCCAAAGCCATCCTTTTTTAAACCTTCCCAAGATTAAATACACCTCGGGCTTTAATTCTGCTTCGTACCGCTCTCCTAAGTGAAAGGAATAGAATATTAAAATGTCATCTGTGGTACTAATCAGAAGGAACTGGGAACAATTGCCATCATTTTTCGTTTGTTCTTATAAGCTGAGTTGCATGCAGTTCTCCAAGTTTAGAGGAATTTAAATTCCTTTAATCACTTTATTGAATAAGACAATTTTTACCTGGCAGAAGTAGTTGCTTCCCTTCATCACCGGAGGATTGATTGGAAGCGCTCTTACTTTGTAAATGTTCTCTGGAGTTGAAAGTTGGGACTGGCCCCAAATACCCATTAGTATTGAATTCCAGTCCCTTCTGATAGTTGAGATTTTTGTTCAAATTACATGGATTTGTTTAAAAAAAGAGAGCGTTCTTTGAAGTACCTTCTTGCTGCAGCAAACCCTTGCTGTAAAACCCCTTTGATCTCCTATGAACTTCACTTCAGGTCTTTCTGTTCATTTGTCTTGAGTATGAGGTTTTTTAGTCTTACGTTGTTCTGTTAACTGCTTTGTCCCTTAGATCCCTCTACAATTGTTATTTTTCTGTACCTTGAGTTTAGTATGAGTGCTCTTTGTGTCTGTTCTGTTGTTGATCTGCAGGGAAATTTTTTTGCCAAAACACGGAGGTATTTCAGGTGGGTGGGTAATAGCAAAGAGAAGGCTCCCGAGGAAATTTCCTCTGTGAAGTTACTTTTGGCTCAAATTCCTCTAAACCTGCTGACTTTTCCTTCGTAGCCCTTCTGCTCTCATTTCCTTGCACTCTTCTTGGCTTTTTGCATTCTTGTTTTCTGACTGCTTCTGTTTGAGGAAGGAACGGTAGTTTTTGAAGAAGTGTGGGCATGAAAATACAGGAATACAAAGTAGCAGGAGTGTTATGCTGTGAACATTGCTTCCTTACTCTATTTGGAAATAATTTAAAGCATTTTCCCTGTTGTGCGAAACATATGTTTGGGGAGGAGTCTATGGCTCGAGCTTTTTCTCATGAATTAGCAGTATGCAGCAAAGTATGACCTAGAAAATACTTAGACTCAGAACGGTAGAGCTGTGAGAATATCTATTGTGGGTTATAATCACAAAATAGTACTGCTGGCTGAAATTAAGATTCGTTTAGTAAGAAATCGCTAACATTCTGGATGAAAAATCATTCAAAAATAACTTCTAATGCTATAAGCAGATCTCAAATCAAAGGATACTGTATTTTTGCACCAGATCCAAAACCAAAACTGCAAGGAATACTGGGATTTCAATGCAGCATTTTCCTCAGCCCTTACATCGCTTGTAACATTCAGAGGAGATTGGATTTCGTTTTCTGTTCAGGGTTTGGTTTTTTTAATGAAGTAAGTATTAGAGAAAGAGGGTGTTTGTGGACTGGAACAATGTAAAGACATTATTTAAACTTTCTATACTGGAGGAAGCGTAGGTTACTTAAGCTGTGCTCTCCACATTGAAGTCTCTTGGGAGTTCTAGATCATAAGAAAAAGACAACCTCCACCTGTGTAGGTAATTTTTTTATATGATTTTTTTTTTTAAAATATCCTTGTTGAAGCAGAGGGTTTTTTTATTTTTATGTCCCCAATTGCAGGGAAAGCAATTTGGTAGTCTTCACCTTGTAAAATAAAATATATAAGTTTTTGCTGTACTTTATGTCCTTCATCTAAAACGTCATTCTGTTTTTAGGGGAAAAACAAAGTTAGGCGAGTGAAGACCATTTATGACTGTCAGGCAGATAATGATGATGAGCTCACATTTGTTGAAGGAGAAGTAATTATTGTAACTGGTGAAGAGGACCAAGAGTGGTGGGTATGTATCTTTTCCTTTTATAGTTCCACATAACTTCCTTATGACTTTTAAAGGAAAGCCTATTTTTCCAAATTTTGGGGGTTTTGTTATTGTTTTGGTTTGTAGATTATTTTTTTTTTTATTTTGTTGATTTTTGGGAGGTGTTTGCCTGAGCTAACACCCAGCCCTTAAACTTGTATTAGAGAAGACCTTCTTTCTCTGGTAGGATCTGTCTCTTCCTGGGAGTCTGCTAGAACCATCTTGACTAGGTTTGGCTTTATTGCTGGCTCATAACAACACGTGTTTACGTACGTCACACTTTGTAATGCACGCTAGCCTTTCATTAAATGAAGAGGTGGTGATTTTTACTCCATTTAGCATGCTTACACTCTTCTTGAAACATGAGATAGGTAATTATCTTTATTTCACCAGGCATGTTAAATTCCACCTACGGGGTTGCTGGAACTCTGAAAAACTATTTGTAATTAGCATTGTAAGCTGCTGGTTTTCCTCCTAAAATAAGAGGTAGTTAACATTTTCTTGCCCTTCTTCCCTCCTGCACCATTGGTTTGTATCATACTCCCCCCCCTGCTCTGGACTGCATGCTGTTCTTTGGTTCTTGAGTGCTAACATCAGGTTTTTCTCAACCCCACTTGAAGTCTCCAACCCTCCCTTGACACCCTGCTTCTTGCCTCCAAAGCCCTGCTACCTCGTGCTTCCCTACCTAAAAATTGTTACTGGGGAAAATGAGACAGCTTTCACTTTGATTAAAACAAATTCTTATCGCAATGCTGCCTATGATTTTCTAATCTAAGTGCAGTGCAACCTTTGCCAATTTGGTTCTAGCTATGCGGCTCCTCTCACTCATCATTTAAGTGTGGAAGACTTTCAACTGAAAAGATGGTATCGAGAGAGCAACGCCCCGTGAAAAGCTGATGTATTACCCGTATCATCCAGTCCCTGATTACAGATGCATTAGCTGCTGAATCTGTTTTGTGAAGTGGCTTTGTAAGATCTCTGGGAACACGCTTGACAAGTTCCATGAAGTGCTCCAGTTTGAATGTTTCTGAGAAGGGAAATGAGGGCTGTTGACTCATATGCTTCAAAAATTTGGCTATACAAGAGGAAATGGCCAGCCCTGCATGTTTCCCCTTCCCATTTTGTTAGCGTGTGGAAGAGGAAGGAGGTACACTTTTATTCTGAAAGTAGTGAGCAGCCCCGTAGGAGGAGAAGAGGAGGGTTATGTGGTCAGTCAAGGCTGCTACTCCAGTGCTATCGGTTTGATAGTTGTTTATAATTATGCATTTTAAAGGTGTAAAGTTCATATAGAAGATGCCTTTTTAAAAAGTTGCTTGGCTATTTCTTTATAACTGATTGTTACGCAAAACGTGTAAGAAGTTGTACATGAAGAATACTTAATCAGGCAATTCTGTGATTTGTTATAAACACTAGTATGCACATAAATCATTAGGAATCATACTAATTCAGTGAGAAAATAGCTTTATCACTTTAAGCGAGCGAAGCATGCAGATTATCATAAGTAACTTTACAACTGCAGCAGACGTTTCCCTCAAGTGCGAGGTCTAGGATTTATTCAGTTAACCAAGGTGAATGGGTTTGAAAGACACAGACTAACCTGCGGTAACGAGGAAGGTCAGACAAAAGAAAACAAGGCTTCTGTTTTGCTGAGGTTCTTGAAATTCAGTGGTTGCTGTAAGCCCTTCTAGGTTTCCATATTCAGTTGTAGTTGTTTTGTTCTCTTTAGATTTAGTTGGCTTCATTTGTCTTATTTATAATGTTTATATAGTTTTATTTTGTTGCGTTATGCAAATTCAGACTAAGGTCTGCTTTAAACTGCTCAAGAACTTGCAAAGGCTCTGTTGGATCCGTGCAGTTCTGCCGCTTTTGAATGAAGTAAATGCAGTCTATGAATGCTACGTGTACACACACGCGTATATGTGTGTATGTATATATGTATGTGTTTCTTCTGTGTTGCAGATTGGCCACATCGAAGGACAGCCAGAGAGGAAAGGGGTCTTTCCAGTGTCCTTTGTGCACATTCTGTCGGACTAGTAAAAACAAACAAAAAAAATCCTAAACTTGAGCATTGCACATTCTTCATGCAAGACGGGCTTTTTAGCAAAAGCGAACGCTGCTGCCTCCCTGTAATCCTGTGCACAATTGTATATATAGCTGCTGTTACAAATTAAGAATTCATTTAAGTTTTCACCTCATGAGGTTGAATTCTATGTATTGTAAATATACCGTGTTATTCTGCCTTTGCCAGTATTATGGTAGCCTTGGAACCTGGCACGCCTTATTGGGTTCGTTGAAGCCATCCTCGGCATCTAGCACTTACACCTCTGTCTATGCTGTTCAACATACGTACGAACTGCCAGCTTTCCAAACATAGGTGGTCTCCGTCAACCATGTAACTGTACAGAAATGACTGTTCCTCATAACTCGGTATTCTCAATATACAATTAGCAGAAAGTTAGAATGAGTGAATGGTTTTGGACAATTTAAAAATCAGTCTGCAGTTTTTAAGTGTATGCAGTTTACAGCTATGAAACCCACTTCGGTATTTATTTAATATAGTGCTCAGTTAAGTGTAATTATGAAGACAAATATTCACTGACTTTACAGATAACAGTAATGTTTTATGGTGTGCATACAGCATTTCATGTTTATATTATGTGGACCTATGCCAAACTGTGATTGCAGTTCCCCTGTGACATTACCTCACTATAAAAAGTTACAAATTTATTTCATTCGAAAACTTATTTTAATGAGAATTAGTCATATTGTTCTTTAGTAGGTATATGTGAAATTTGCTGGTTTCTTTCACTGAATTCTTAGTAACCAAGGACTTCTAGAAAATGTTAACTGTTGACATTATGCATGCATTTAGATGCTTACTTGAAACCTGCCTTTGTACAAAAGTAGTACTGTAGTCATATAGCTACATTTGAAGAAAAGAACATTTTAACTTAATTGCTATTCAGATTAATGTGAGCTTGCAACAGTATTTGTTTATAGCTAAATTGGCTCTTTGAAAAATGATTTTGTGGGGTTTTTTTTCCTCTGCCTTCAACCTTGCTAAAAGTTAGTTACCTAAAATAAAATTTCTTAAGTGGTGATATAAGGATAAATTTAAATTATTTGTAATTGCTCTGAAAAGTGGAAGTTAAGATGACCTCTCATGTGTTTGGTCAGGCTGTTAATGACAGAGCTCAGATCACAACTATCAGGCTGGTTTTAGTAGAGTTCACTGAGCTGTAACGGTAATAGTCTTTAATTCAAAGCACCAAGTAACAGACATACTGTCATAAAGCTAATTTCTAGGAAAATCTTTGGAAGGCTGCATTGGACCTGAGGTTTCTTGAAAGTTGATGCAAAGTTGCATTGCCAGAAAACACTTAAATGTATTACTGAAAACTTTCATTTCCTATGTCACTTTCAGCATCATTTTTTTAACTTTGAACCATAATGCAGTTGTGTTTTTTCCATAGTTTGTCCGTAGCAGGTTCCATGACTTTCATACGTAGTTTTGTATTACTTGCTTTAAACGTTATTTTGGCTTCAGTACCCAGTACTGCGATTTCAAAGCAAATTGTCTTGGCTGCATGGAAAGATTTTCGTTTCATAAAAACACATCTCAGGCTTTCTGAGGGCTTTCATTTTTAATTCAGTTTTACAAGACTGTAGTCAGTGAATATTTAATTCTGTTTGTGGTTAATATAGAAACAAATATTGGTCTAAATCCCACATGGAAAAAATACAAAACATTTATCAACTGTTAATGGTTTTATCATTTATAACAAAAGTTTATTGAAAAAAAAAAAACGCAATGAGTGAGCGAGCCTGCTGGCATCTAATCCTTCAGTATTACCAGCTCCAGTATTTCAGAATTTATTCTGTTTTTTTAGGGAAAGGAAGTCAGGATTAGCATTTATTTAGCATTCCATTTTATCCATTACTACAATGTTTTAAGTTGCATTAAAGAACAAAACCTATTCACTTTTGTGGTCAATTGTATTTTTAAGTGATCTTGAAATAAACTGATAAAAGCAAATCATATAAAGAAAACCTAGGCATGTAAAATTATGTAGAGTCAAATGTCTATTCTTTTCTACGCTCTTTAAAATAGTATACATATGCATTTTATAAAATTAAATGAGTTCCTTCGGGAACAATAGTTCTGTTTATTCTGGCTTATTGTGGGTCATAAGAAATCTGAAAATGTATGATATTGATTGAGTTTAAGTACAGTATTATATTTGAACTCAATGAGCCACTGTCTGCAATTTTGTACATGACATAATATTTGGAAAGTCTAAATCTTTATGGAAAATTAGCTGATAAGGGGTTGGGGGGAGGGGCAGGGGAAGGTGCCCCCAGAGGGGGAAGTATGCTCTGCAGATGATATCTTATTTACTGTTGAACAACAATTGCTATTTATTTTTTTATTACATAGTACATCAACGTGTACAGAAATCAGATCTGGTCATGCCACTAGTTGAAATCTTGACTTCTCATTGAATGTTAAGGTAAAACATCAGTACACATGTCTATTCACGTATTTAATGTGACAGTTTTTGAGTACTGTATGCGTTAATTTCTACTTTTTTAATATTTAAAATTGCTTTTAAATAAATGTATTCAGTTGATCCCAGTTATCTGAACAAGGCCCTTTTGTCAACTGGAATACCTTCTAGGGAGAAAGTCTGGATTCCAAACAGGTAGAACTAAAACACTTGAAATGTTCTCTCTTGACTGTAGAGCACCCCTTATATCATGCAATTAAATGTGTATCTCTCTAGCAGCTGTTAAATATGGATGCAATTGCCTTTATCTGGAAAACTTTATTTACTAAAGTTAGCATCAAAACCCTTAATTTGTCCATGAGTTTCGATTGGTGTCTCTGTGGCTCAGTAGGCTCTGCGGAAAGCCAGCCCCGCGCCTTTTCTCCAGCTGGCCCTTGGGGTTGAGAAGAACCCCCCGGCATGGCCCTCTGTCCCGCACGCCTTCCTCTGCCCCGGGCAGTGTTACCAAACCTGACAGCGGCTCTCAAACCTTTCCTGGATGGCGTGATGTTACTGCTTGGAATCCCAGCTCCGAACCAGCTTGCAGAGGTTATTTTTCACCCTCCCTGACTTGTTTTTTGGAAGTTTTGCATTTAAGACCCTCACCTCTCAAAACTGCTCCAAAAAGAACAAGTCACTTGAAATTGCTAGATAGCCATGAGAACATCCTTTAGCCAGAGGAGAAGTTTGGGAGTGCAGAGTTATCAGATCTGGTTTGTATGAAAAATAGTAACGGCAACAGCACAGGGCTCAGGAGACTGCTGTGGTAAAATAGCTGCTTCAGGGCTGAATCGTAGCGCAGGCACAGCCTGGGTTCCTCGTAGAATATTCTGCTCGGTTAGTTTTGTGCTTTTAACATAGGCTAAACATAGGGGGCGAGGGGTGTGCGAAATATGGACGTGGGGCGGGGGAAGCAGTCTGGTTCAATATTCTGCTCTTCCTCAGTTTGTACCTTGCCACAGTATTTCAGATAACAGCACTCAGATCTGCTGATTCAAATATCCTCAGTTCTCGGCCCTACTTGTATTACTTGTTCTTCAGCAACAAGTCTTGATTTCCTTTTGCAAGTCAACATCGAGGTGGATATCTCGTACGCTGTTTGGGGCAGAAGAGACCAAGGCAAACACATGCCCAGAGAACTCCCTTGGTGTTCAAAGTTTCAGTCTGCTTACCTTTTTCCTGGCAAACTTAAAGCTCATAGTTGAACAGAGTGACTGGTAATCAAAGCCAGTGAAAGTGGTGCAACTCTTAAACACCAGTCAGTGAAACCCAGAAGTAGCTGCCCCCGCCCAACAAACCCCCAAACACTCCAACCCTGTAAATATGGTTGAATTGTTTTCAGATGCTTCCCCCCTCCCCAGACTCTGCAGTTCTGTGTGACAGTTCCCCTGAGCATCAACAAAAAGCAATGTTGCTCTCCCCGCACGCTGCCCTGTGACGTGGTTTCATGCCACTCACACCCCACACCAGCAACCCTCCTACGCCCAGAAACCCGAATATAGCAGAGGAGCAAACGTCCCTACGTAAATAAAGTTCAGCTTCAGACCTTAAATGCTTACAGACAACTTATAAATTAGTCTTTAGTTTAGGGCTGCTGGGGGTGCTTTTATGAGACGCTTTAGCCCTTCTAAAACAGCCAGAGGCTTTTCAGATGGATGCAGAATGCACACAGGACTGTAAGATGTATATAGCTGCAAGCCAAAAATTTTCTTATCTAATACAAACTAACTATTTCAAGTTGTCCTAATGATACTTTTAGGGCTATACATATCATGATTTACAGCTCAGTCATCTGCTCAGAGAGTGCTCAAGTTTCTTCTTGAGATAAACTAAGTGCTGTTTGTCAGCTTGCACTGAAGCTTACCCCTCCCCACGCTGCGGCACGCACAAAACCTGCGAGTCTTGACTAGTTCTCGTCAGCTGCTGTTGGAGTGACACTAAGAACGATAGTGTGTCACGGCACAGGCTTTGCCTTGTTCCTCTGTACGTTACAGAACAGATCCTCCTGTCTGCAGTGAGGTGGATGTCTGCTCTGGTCTCTTCTTATAATAGCGGGGGCGGGGGACAAACAATTTGTGACAGCTGTCACATCTGCTAACCATGTCAGAGCAGAGGAGAAGCTGATCGGTCGTTTGCTGTACCACCTGAAGAATGTTTTCAATGAGCTTTAAGCTTACCTGGAACTTTAAATCCAGTGATAATGCTACTCTGCAGTTCCCACCAGTTTGGTCTTGGTTCTTGTAGATCAGAAATGTCCCCATGTGCTTGTTGCTTTTCACTGAAAGGCGGTGTCAGACTAGGTCCATCTCCCCCATGGGAGTTTTTCTCCAAGGCTTGAAGATGTTTCTGGTGCTTCAGTTACCACCAGAAATTCAGAAATCTGATGTTTCTGTCACAGTCACATTGTGTAGATGAATCGTCCTTGACCACTGGAAACTTGACTGCTCCCGAATGGCTGCGTTAGAGGCTCTTTTATTGCATTTACCTTTGTTCAGTTCACAGCAATAGCATTAGGCTTGGGGTTTTGGGTAACTAATTTCCCCAGTCTCTTTCCCAGGGAATACTACAGGAAGAACTTACTACAGCTGCCTGTAAACTTAGAAGAGTTAGGAGTAGCATGCAATAGCTTAATTCAGAAACTGCTCTCAAACCTAGTTTAGTACATCGATGTTTTTCATCTCCCTGCTCCCACATCCCTGCTACGGTACTAAGCGCGAACATGCCTCTGAGCTGGAGTTGTTCGTGTTTAAAGAAAAATCAAAACCTTAAGTATCAGAAAGGCTTGAAATGTGATCCTGAACTTCAGACAGAGGAAAGACAAACCGCCTCTTAGCTGAACGTGCACAGGAGAGGTCAGCAGCTGTTTGTTGGTTAAGCAGGGTTTGTGCGGTGGTTGTCTGTCGGAGCCTGCAGACTTCCTTAGTGACCCAGTGGCAGCAGTAGCCACATGCTGCTTCACACACACCTCAAAGACAAAAGCAGACATTTTTTCAAATTCGTAACGATTCTCCTGCCTGTAATCACCTGCCCCTACTGCCAGCCATCCTGTCCATGGCTCTAGTCCTACATGCTCACGTGTGCTCACTTTCCCTATATTCACTGTAGATTTTCAATTCAGAGCTGTAGCTCTACTTCAGTAACTCGAGGCAGGAAAGCAAGAGCCCCAGGCAGCTGAGCAGTGAGCAGCATGCTCTCATTTCAAATGGGACTTTTTATTGCATGGAAACCCATCCAGGAGCTGGAAAAAAGCCTTGTGGAGCAACTCCAGGACCCTTGCAGTAGCTCTGACCTCTGTGCATAGAAGTATGGGGATGAAGGGCAGATTTGTGATCCAGGATCTTCTTCAGTCTCCATCCTCCCTACAGGAACTGGGCCAGCCTCTGCAGAAAGAAGCAGGAGAACAAACGCTAAACCTGCCTCTGTAGGGTGCAGGGAGCTGCTGGCCTACTTCCAAGGGAAGCTTAGCAGCTTGGACAGCTGGAGAGCAAGGAGCACCGAGCTTCACATGAAATGAACTTACACTGAGCGATGCTGGAAGATGGGGACTTCTGAGCCTTCTGCAAAGTATAAGAACTAATCTGAGCTCTACCTGTGCTACGGGGTGGAGGTGTGAGAAGAGCAGGGGATGGGGGCAACACAAACCACCACTTAAACCCCTTTGAAAGAGTATGAATGACACTGTCGTCGATACGAAAATCAATCGTAAGGAGACAGCAGCTCTCCTGTGAGCACTGCCAATAGGTGGGCCATATACTCACCTCAAAGCTCAAGGTAATGCAGAGATTTAAGTGATATGAAGAAGTGAAGGTCCCTTGTCCAGGAGAAGCAGCAAGATCTTAGCAAACAATAATGGGGGGGGAGTGGGCAGCGAGGCAGTCAGACCATCTGGTCAGTGCTGCAAGTAGCTGCTGTCGTAGTTGGGCCCTGTGAAGGAGCAGAAGGCACCAGATGTGCAGGCAGGTCTGTGCCCAAGATCCAGTGAGCAGGAGCATTTGGCTGTAAGCAAGGAGGTGCCGCTGTCACTAGACCAGTCCTGGGCAGCAGCCCCAGGCTGGGTCCAGGTCAACCTCAGACATGGTTGTGGCACCCTCACTACCCCCTTGGAGCCGGTCTGGAACAGTCACCTTGCTTAGGGATGGATTTTGCTCAGGATCATCCTTTAACTCGGCACCTGTGTTCCCTCCAGGCCTGAGTGAGGTGCTGCCGGGTCCAGCAGAAAAGCTCCTTCTGTTGCCTTTCCTTGCTGGGATGCAGAGAAAATTTAGATGAAAAAGAAAATATTAAATTTGGGCTTGGAAAAACCCTCTCTAATTCAAAACCCTTGGGAGCAGGATTTTGTTCCTCTCACTTGCCCGGGGCAGTATTCTGCCTAAATGTTTTTCATACAAAATGTGGTTTATTCAGACCAGGGTCATCACCTCCCTCTCTGTATTCAAGCGCCTGCTCTGCCTGTGGTCCCTAGCTTTACCTGCTTGCCTGGTGGAATATAAAAGGTGGCACCAAGTGTAGGACTTCTGTGTAGGAGTCCCATTACCTCCATGACTTCTCAGCGCCCTGGCCTCACCGCTGCCCCTGTCTCCATCTGCTTTGGGCTACAGACAGGACTTGTAGCCATTGTGGCCATCGCAGTGAGACCCGTGCCGTGGCACGGGGCTGCAGAGCGAGCTGAAGCATCGCAGCCCCCTGCCAGCGGCTGACAGTGAAGCCAAGCAGCAAAATGCCATTTAAAGAAATTACCTTAAGACGTGTTACTCATACTTAATCCCTGTCCCTCCCTGAAAGGGATCGATGGTGCAGGAGAACAACAGCATCTGTTGATGGAGGGAGACCTTCCTGCTGGGCAGATGGGGATCCGGATGGCCTCAAGATGCCTCCTGCGACCAAGATGCTGTCAATCATTGACAAGAGATGGAGGAGCAAGGTGCCTCAGGGATGTCACAACCGCTCTGGTGTCTGAGCATGGCTCCAGAGATTGAAGGAGCTATTTGGGTTTGAAGGAAAAATTCAGCTTTCATGAGTTTTTTGTTTAGTTTGGGAAGATCAGTCATAGAGGCAACGTCCCACTGAAGTGGTTCGGCTGCCAGGCCGGA